CCGAAGCAGGCGACCCTGGGGTATGTGCAGCCAACGCAGCAGACCATTGGGTGTGTGGATGGAGATGGTCTCCTCATGGGCTCAGATGGCTAATCGTGATGGACGCTTAGGAAGTTCTTTGGGGCAAAGTCTGGCGCGCCGGTGAGGCAGACGACGCTGGCTTTTGCGACCAAGGACAAGGCTGAAGAGGACGGGTCTGAAGGCGAGGCAAGCACAAAGGAGAATTCAGATCCAGAGAAGGAAGACTCAAAAAAGCGGCCACGGTCGCCCAAGAAGAGTCAGGATGCAAAGTCATCACAGACCGAGACCAAGCTGGAAGAAGACGAAGATGAAGCTCCGGTGACGAAACGAGTGAGACGGGCTCGGGTCAAGGTTGAGGATGATGAAGACGACACCCCCCAATCGTCAGCCAACAAAGAAGCAGCCCCAAGCAGCCCCCCTGCCAAGAAGAAGAGGTCGCCGAGCCCCAAGTCAAGCCCGAGGTCAAGATCGTCGTCGCCGAAGCCAACTCAGATCAAAAAGGAGGAGGAAAGTGCTGCGGTTGAGGATTCCGACGTAGTCATGAAGGAGGAATCATCCTCAGAGTCGGCATCAGAGGCTGATAGCGATTCGGAAGAGAAGACAAAAGTCACCGCCAAGGCGCGCAAAGCCCAGCAGACAATGCTTCAGAAACAGGAGAAAGACCCGTATCCCGACTGGAAACCTGGCACCCCTGTGCCATACGCAGCCCTCTGCAAGACCTTCTCTCTAATCGAGCTAACCACGAAACGGTTAATTATCATGGAGCATTGTTCGCGCTTTCTGCGCCAAGTCATGCGCCTCACTCCCGACGACCTCTTGCCCACTGTTCTTCTCATGATCAACAAGCTTGCCCCTGATTACGCAGGCATTGAGCTCGGCATAGGCGAGTCTCTCATCATGAAAGCCATCGGCGAAACAACTGGACGAAGCCTTCAGGTCATCAAGGCTGATCAAAAAGAGATTGGCGATTTGGGCCTGGTCGCTGTCAAGAGCAGATCAAAACAGCCAACCATGTTCCAGCCAAAGGCTCTGACTGTGAGGGGTGTCCATCAAGGATTGATGAATATCGCCACAGTAAGTGGTAACGGTGCCCAAGGCCGCAAAGTCGATGGTATCAAGAAGCTCTTATCCGCGTCCGATGCGTACCTCAAGGAAAAGGTAGACATCACCAAGGATAAGGGCGGGCCAAGCGAGGCAAAGTACATCATCCGATTTTTGGAGGGCAAGCTTCGACTTGGCCTGGCAGACAGGACTGTCCTGGTTTCATTGGCCCAAGCCGTTGTAGCCCACGAAGCGGAGCAGAAGGGAAAGATTCCCAGCACCAGGACGAGCCGATGTAGAGGGCGCGGCTCGAGAGGATGTCGGAGTTCTGCCGGCGGGTCGGGGGCGCGTCGGACGGCGGGCTCTGCTGACTCCGGATGAAGAGCGTGGTCGGCGAGCGCCTGGGCGCCTGGAGCGAGCTAGACTCCGGCACCTACCTGGTCTGGGGCGACTGCGACGGGAGCGCGTGCGGGGACGTAGAGCAGCACAGCATAAAGGTCTTCGACCCGAACGCCATGTACGAGAAATGACTATCCCCGCAGAACGTCCCAGACGAGTGGTTCTTCCTGTAAACCATACAGGAGTTGCCCCGCCTGCTCTGCTCCGCGTGCTGCCCCGAACCACGGTGCCCCCGCCCTCCGCGCAGCCCCCGACGCTCCTCCCCCGTCCTCTCGCCGCAGCACCCAGCACCCCCACTCCTCCTCCTCGTCTCCCCCAACAACTCCTGCCCCCTACTACGCCTACTATGCCTATCCCCCAGTTATAACATCTACCCCCCTACCCCCCTCAAAGTCCCGGGAACGAAATACTACAATCTAAACATCTCTACGTAAAAACTTAAATCGGGCTCGAAGTTCGTACAGTATGGTACCCTACGCGACGTGACAGGATATGTTTTACGTGTAGTACTGTTACGCTCTCAGTAGAAGGTTCGCGGTAAATACCGTTTCAAATATCGGTGTAGGGCATTTAGTATGTATACGTTGGGAGGGGATTTCTATCGGGGTTTGGAGGGTTTTCGATAACTATGTACTAAAAGGTCTCAAGGGTGGTTCTGGCTCTGTAGTCATGAGTTTCAGCAGTAGGTGGCTGCCGGGGAATAAGAACCAATGCGAGAGGACGAAGGATATGTAGAGGCGCTGGACGGACGACGAGCAGCGGAGTAGGCCGAAGAACAGCAGGGCTTAGAACTACTTGGCGCCCTTGGCGTTCGACTACGGGAAAAGCGGGCGGCCTAGGTGCGGGAGGAAGGTAGGCCGGAACATGGCGCCCGACTCGCAGTTTAGCCGGCAGAACTGGAGGGTGTGCATGAAACCGAGCTTGGTCTGCAGGCCGACCACGACAGGCGGGCTCCTCACGCTCATCTTCCCAAACCCCGCCCGCTAACACTAGACCCTCTCGACGCGCATCTCCAGGAGCTCCTGAACAAGCCTCTTCGGCCACGGCTACAACGTGTGGCAAAGCATACACAGACAGCTCCGCAACATCGTCCGATCGTCCTTTCGCGGCATCTGCCTACAAGCAAACGGAAACGGCATCATCCGAGGATCCTGTTGGTCCAGGTTACTCAGAGGGTGGGGCCTTTCCATTAGGAAAAACTAGATAAAGTGCCATAGTCATGCTCGGTATAGTCTCATCACGCAAAACCTCTTTCTTTCAGTACGAATGGAACTCGGTCAAGGCTGAAGCGAACGACCCGAGTATGGGCGAGAGGAAGGGTAGGTCGTAGAACTGGTACTCTGGGAGCGTTCTACGGAACTGTGAGAGCAGCTCCTTCCTGACCTAAAGTAGGTCGAGGACTGGCAAGTATACGCACCGTTTACGCTTAAGTGGAAGTTGCCCCCATTTACGCCACACCTCTTCGAGAGAAGCGAGTGCTTCGCTGAAAAGGTGTTGCCGGAGAGGCAACTTTATGTCGTCCAGTTTACGTTTCTGCGTCTGGAACTGGAACTACAGGAGTCGGAACTGCAGAAAGGAGAACGCTCAGTACTCGACGACCTTTCCGTCCTGGAAGAAGAGGCGTTGCAGGGTCCGGTGCCAGAGTGTCAGCTCGTGTTTCGAGAACCACAGAAGGAACTGGGTACACACGTCGAAGAGGTCCTATAGCCCTATGAAGAACCTGTCCAGAAGGCTCAACGCTCTCTTCTACGTACTTTGAGGGCTCCGTCGGCCAAACCGATGAGGACGTCGTCCGCGTGAGTTCAGAAGCCCACGTAGAAACCGGTGTATTACCTAAACTCGCGCAAGCGGCAGCATGAACATGAGCGTGCATTTGCAGACCGGAAGCTTAGCCAGGTTCTGGAGACACTACCGAAACCAGCCAAACCGGTCGTATCCGAAGTCCCCGTGCGGACCAGCGTCGAACGTCACGAGGGAGTCCAACTTCTACGGCATGAACTCGTAGCGACCTTACTACTGCAGCATCGAGCCTTCGAGTGACAGAACACAGTTAGAGTTCAAGTGTATGTTCGCGGCTTAGTACGTGTTTGGACATTTGGCAGAACTCCTATCTGAGCGGCAAGAGGTCTAGGC